GATGTAAGAAAGGTCCAAACCTGCAGAGAATTTTTATAAGAGTTTATTTGAGCCAAACTGATGGCATATGCCGGAGAGCAAGATCTCAAATGCTATAAAAGTTTTTCAGCTTCTTTTATGCATTTGAAATTAAGGAGGGGACGTGATGTAAGCAAGATTGGAGAAAGCAGGGTGGGGACTGGATTACAGGCTAGCTAACAAGATTATGTGCTCTCTTCAGTGTTAATAATCCCTTCAGGATTATTAAGTCTGGTATTGCAAAAGTGTTCACCCTGATGCACAAGAACAATGGACAAGACTGGCTTAACACCTTTCACTGAAGAAGTTATAGGCTGGAAGCATGACTACCCACCATGACTTGTCCATTTAGGAATTTACGATCAAATCACTCTGTGAGGTTACCTTACATAGATCCCCCTTTTTGTCCACACCTCCTACCTCTCCATTTGTGTCATCCTCACCAGTTCCACCCTTCAGGCCACCTTTAAATTCTGGCACTTGGTGAAGTCCTCTTTAGTCCTTTTAAAATCTCACTATTCTGTAAAAAGCTTCAGCTGCTATTTATTTGTAGTCACTCACAAATTGTATCACACGAACAAGCTCCAAATACAAATTTCTAACTCAACATTCCAAACCCCTTCTTGCTTCTGAAGAACCAGCACTCCTTCCTGTATCCCCAGTCTAAACTAATGGCCAAGGAATACTTTCAGGAACCCAAGCTCAAAGGAGAGAGTCCCGTGGAAGCCCTCCCTTTCTTGTATTTCCTACACCTAATCAGTAACCACACCCTGTCAACCTACCCACCCCCCACAACTCCCACGCCCCAGTGATTCTTGAATCGTTTTCATTCGCAGTGCTTTTGTTCAGGTTCTTATTACAGTAGCCCCCTAAATGGGATTATAATTTTAAAATCTTGCCCAATTTGATAGGGGGGAAAAATGGTTTCTCTTTATTGTTTTCATTTAAATTTCTTAGCTTGGTGGATATATCAGATCCTTCTTGTAGCCTCTCATTTTGTCTCCGCCCGCTTTTAACTCTAGTTTTTGCTAAACTACTCAGCTTGAGCAAGTGCAATTCAACAGCACATTGCTTCACCTGCCGTGGGTGGAAGGGTGGCATGATTTGAGTTATATTTCAAATGATCACCCTGATTTCTGTGTGGAGAATAGAAAAGGGAAGATAAAGTTCAAAGCAAGGAGACAAGGTAGGAAATTATTCCAGGAGTCCAGGGTTTGAAGATGGGAACTAGTCCCTTCCTGGTGAGAGGAAATATCTGCAGGGAAATATCTAAATGGTGAGAGAAAAGTTGGGTAAATATTTAGGGGAAAAAATTAAATTTGATTCTGTCTTTTACATGTTAACAACAATAACAAAGGTCCAGTTTTATTAAACAAAATTATAAATTTATGAGAAAAAAATAATTTGTTTACACCTTTAGAAAACAACCCCTTCTTAAACAAGAAGCAATGAGCAAAAAGCATTTAAAAAACAACAAATTTGAATACAAGAAAATTAAGCCATAGACGATGCCATAAATAAATAAGATGCCAAATTAAATTAAAATAACAGTGAGGAAAAAAGTTTGCAGCATATACTCATATGACTAAGTATTACCATCCAGAATACATAAAGAATTTCAAATCTACAAGAAAAAGAGAAAAAAAGTTGTGTACAGGAGAAAGCATATAAAATGTGTAGTTTATTAAAAGGAAATATAGATTGGCAATACACAAATTAAAGTATGCTCAATTTCACAAATAATAAAGAAGACACCACTTCTCACTCATCAGATTCAGACAAAAAAAATAAATTTAACAAGAAAGTATTAGCAAGAGTGTTAGAAATCAACTGTCCTCGTATCCAACTTGTAGAAACGCATATTAAATAATACCTTTAGAGAGAAATGTGGTAAAATGTGTATTATTCTTATCTGACATTTCTACTTCTGTGTAACAACATAAATGGAGCTCCATAGCATATTTGTGAATTAAAAGAAATAACATGTCGCTTATAAATTGCAATGTGATACCTTTTATATGAAATAAACATGCACAGTGATACCTTACATTTTCTACAGGAGATACATGCATGCGAAGTCCATTAACAAGAGCTGGGCCGGCCAAGTGGCTCAGTTGGTTAAGAGCTTGCTCAAGAGTGCGAGCTCTGAGCAACAGCGTTGCCAGTTCAATTCCCGGCCTGAGCTGAGCTGCCAACAGGTGGCAGGAAGGCTCAGATTAAAAAAAAAAAAAAAACAGGAGTTGGGAGGATATAAATCAAATTGATTATAGTGGTAACCTCTGAGGAAGGGGGAGATTAGCAAGTCCTGGTGTCAGAGTACCTTAGGCTTGTGTCTGCTAAAAAGTTTTCATTTTACAAGGCATGCACACTCAAGTGGTCATAGATAATATGTCAGATGTTGATAGCAATGATCTCTGAAAGGGAAGGTATGGGTAATTTTAAAATCTGCTTTTTTTGCTTATTTAGTTTCTACATATTTTATAATATGTATTTTTTTGTAAAGATATATCTTTTCAATTTTTACATAAGCTTTATTGAGTACCTAGTTCCCAGTAAGGGATAAAAGAAAAAACTATCAGATGTGTTTTTTGTCCTAAAGAAGTTACAATCTAGCAACAACATTTGGATTCAAAGAACTGGACTAGTGAGATGTGAAAAGACCTTGGTGAGGTCTTTGCTCAGTTATCTCTTCTTCTGAGAAAAGACCACTACCCTGTCTTTTTCCAAGAGAACCTACTAACAGGTACAGAATTTTCCCTTTAAACATTTTAGTAAGCCTTATAGGAGGCTACTGCAAAAGATTGGGAAATAATTCCCTGGAGAGATACCTTTTGGTAAGCTATGGCTGTTCTAGCCACCACCTGTATACCCAGTGATCATTAAAAACTCACCTTTCTGTGATGAAGATGTCCAGATGTTTGCTGGCTTATGCAGATCTCTTCATAACATGTACTGCATGACTAGAAATGCTGATTGTTCTGTTACCCCAAAGTCATCTCTTAAACACAATAAAAGAATGGGCCTTGAGAAAAGTTTTAAAACTCATAGATTGTAAACATTTTTAACATTCACAGGTTTTAAAACTTTGTAATACACTTATTTATTCCTAAAATAATTTTGATTATAGCTGCCAAATAAACATTTTCATATTATTTCTAAATCTAATTGTATGTCCATGAAGTTCACAGAACATCTTATATTTATCTTGGTATATCCTAAAGTTTTTCATGGAAAACATATGAATGCTTAGTTACTTTTTATGCTGAAGAGAAAACAAGCAATGGTAAAAGAGAGAGCTTGATGACGTTGACGAGAAAGGGAACTGACTAATAGAACAAAGTGCCCAAAGGCCAAGGGATTAGGGCCACGACACAGGAGAAAGTGTTGTTGAACAGATTTGGGGTATCAGAATAAAGGTGTTAAAGATTAGCGGGTGTCCGTAAGTTTGTAAGCAGATGAGAAGATTGTTGAGAAAGAAAAAACAAACACCCAATTTCTCAATTTTTCTGAGCAAACAGGTGACCTCCTGAGAATAAGAGCACTGGGCTAATGCTTGAGGAAGTTTATAACAGTCACTGAGAAGTAGAGAAATTTGCTGCACCTGACGCCTGTGTTAAGAACAATTTACCTTTCACAGTAACCATTTCAAACCTGGTTTAATACTCTCCACTTCTTCTCCTTCTCATTCTCAACTATCTCATTTCCCATTTCCAGAGACAAAAATGCTCCAAGAAAACTTGCTTCTGCCACCGATGACATGCACCTTCCTTTGGATGCCACCCACTCTTTCTTCCTGTCTTTCTATTAAAATCTGAGATGTGGCTTTTCTCGTTCTAATTCTCCGGTGTGTACTTAGGACCCTGCCCTCCTGCCTCCTCAGAAGTCTTCCCTTGAGCTTCCCTTTTCTCTTGCTCACCTATTACTTCTCCGTCTTCTCCAGCCTCTTTCTGACAAGTGTTTAAACAGGATTAACCACTTCAAATAAAACCCACCCACCCTCAGTTCTTCACCCCATCCAAGTATGGGTCTATCTTTCCCTTCAGAGACAAATATTATAGATAGTTAATTCACTTATTCAGCAAATATTTGCTAAGTGTCAACTACATACAAGTCTTGCTTTAAGTACTAGGGAGTCAACAAAGAACACAGTAGACGAAACTCCCTACCCACATCAAATATCTACTCTAGTACAGAGCTGTAACCATTTCCTCATTTCCAATTCATACAACTACTCAACGTCATCTGGTTCTACCTTTAACCCCCTTTGAAAACTGCTCTCGCCAAAGTCACTGATGATATCCTTCTTGTAAATCACACAGAATTTTTTTAGTTCTCATCTTATTGGATGCAGGTTTTGCAGCACTTGAGCTAATTGACTACCCTGCCTTAAAATCATAGGCCCTTCAGATGATGTCCAGCCCCTGATTACAAACTTGTAATAGCTGTACATCTCTTTGAAGGTAAAGCTTTAAATGCGCAACAGTTGATAAGGCCCTTACTGATGCCTCAGCCGCTTTCCTCTCCAACCTCGACTCTCACCTTCCTAGCCTTCATCTTAGTCGGCCATTCTTGGTTCCAACGTCCTCCTCTCTCTGCCATCCACTGAAAGCACCACGCTCGTCTTCACTTGGCTCATCCCTACTCGCCCTTCAGGCCTCAGCTTTGGCATCCTTTTCTCTGGGAGCCCTGAGCTTCCAATTTTCAACCCAGAGGCTTTCTTACAAAATTCCATAAGAGCCTCTTCATCTGGCAGCATGTACCACAGTATGTTATCCTTATTGGTTTACCTGTCATATTAGGGTATATAAAACCCTAAGAATGGAGACTAATTGTCATTCAAGATATAGTTCCAGCACCTAGCAGAGTGTTTGGCATTGAATAGTTCCTTAATAACTATTACTTGAATTAAGATTATATTTATTGAAGACCTATTTTATTCCAGGGACTGTGCTGCATGCTTTGCAAATATTATATAATTTAAGCCTCACAAAAACCTCAAGATAATAATTCCTATCATAGAGAAATTGGGCCTCCAAGAAGTAAAATCATCTGCTCACAGCTGGCTGGACCTATGGTTGCCCAGCAGCCTGGTAAAGAACAGTCTCAACAAGAGGAACCAAGGACTGAAAGTCAGGACATTCTACCTGGTCAAGAAAGAGACAATGAAGGAACACCTGTGGTTCAAGGGTTTGACCTAGAAGCTGATCAGCAGGAACTGGATCAGTCAAAGATGGGGGTGAGTGTGGAGATGGTCCAGAGATCAAGGAGGAGATTCTGCCAAACCTTGAGCCCATTAAAAATACCAGAAGTAGATGAAGGACAGCCATATGCTTAAAAGAAGACAAGTTGGAACCATGCAGACTGTTTTTATGTTGGATATTTGTTTAAAAACAACAACAAAAAAACTCTCAATAAAGTTTTGCAATTTCCTCCTCAAAATGGTCACAAAGATAGTAAATGGTGAAGGAGAATGTGAACTCAGGTTTAACTCAGGTTTGTTCGACTCTATAACAAAAAGAGCACTTCATATATCTCTAAGCTTCAGAATGAACTAAACAGAATTTATTAATACAAAGGAGAGTTGCTGGAAGACCCCTCGTCATGATGCCAAGTTAAAGTGGCAGAACTTACAGCTTGTTTTTTTCTTAAAACCCTCTGTCCGTGAGAACTTTTCAAACTCTGCCACTAAGTAGCATTTGGCACATTTACATTTTTAAGTAAAACCTTTCCCCTGATTGATTGCACAAAGGTGTTTCAGTCTTGACATGATAATGGTGTTGGAATATGAGGAGGTTAAAGGATGGCTGTCTGGTCAGAACATGAAATGCTGATGCTTTAAATCCTGCCCACAAACATCCATCTACTGGCAGGTAAGATCCTGAAAGAAACACAGAGAGTTCATCTTTTCTTGGTAGGACACCTGTTGATCTTTAATACTCAAACCTCGTAGTATGTATCTCTCAGTTCAATGTGTTCGAGCCAATATTTTTATAGGCCGAGTGTGTGTGTGTGTGTGTGTGTGTGTGTATGTGTGTGTCCTCAAAACTCAATACAACATTTTAAACAAAATAATGCACACTAAAAGTCACAATTATTTTCCAGGTTGACAAGGTACAAGAAACATGAAAAGACCCCAAGACTAAGCAGTGTGGTTGGGCAATTCTTACTGGCACCAAGAGAGGCTATATGAACTGCATACAAAGCAAAGATATTAATACCCATATCAAACTGGGAGGACCAGGAAATGATATTTTAAACATTTTCCATCTGAACATGACACTTTATTTATTATATGCAGTTTTTAGTGTGTTCAACTACATTTTAAGAAATCAGCTCAAAGTTTGTGGTTAATATGCAGCACTATATATTTTTATAATTAAAAAATATGAAATAAGTTTCCTGTTCATTTTCTTATATCATAAAGTCTGATTTTCAGAAATAAATTACTGAAATTAAGCAAAAAGGGCCTAGCTATGCCAGAAAGTAAAATAGAAACAGGATGAAATTAGTACTCCTACCTAGACAAAGGGGAGTTACCCACTTAGGCTCTCCTCGGACTATACCTCCCCACATGGCTATAGCAGAGATACTATTATTGAATGTGTTGATCATAGACAAATAACCAGCTGTTTCTCAGCAAAATATCTCATCAATAATACAGCCTGTAGGTTTCAGACAATGAATTTGGATAAAAATCCAGAGTCAGTTAATAGTCTAGATCAGGGGTCGGCAAACTGCACCTTGCGAGCCACATGCGGCTCTTTGGGTACGTTCCGTCTCAAAAGTTTGCCGACCCCTGAAAGAGCCAATCCTGTCATTGTCCCTCACAACAATTTAAAAGTTATTTGAGAGCCATAAATACATTTTTACATAGTCACCATTATGTGAATAATATCCTTTAAAAATTTTATAAATGAAACTATGATAGTCTTATTTTCATTTTCAATTTTACTTCAGAGACACATGTACATACCCAAAGAGTTGCATGTGGCTCACAAGCCACAGTTTGCTGACCCCTGGTGGCTCTTCCATCTCAAAAGCTTGCCGACCCCTGGTCTAGATGAAAAAAAGAACTCTGTGAATTTTAAACCTTCTAACTGACATAGTCTGAACATCTTGAGAAAGCTGTCTCATCAGGTGTCATCTGCTTCAATATCAGGAAATCTTCCCCTTTAGGTCACCAGCTGATGTACATGTCCAGACAGGGTTTAGGTGCTTTCTTTAGATGTGACATGTGAATCCAGGAGTCTATTCCCTGGAGTTTGGTGGCCACAAGGGTTTGTTAACAGTATCTAATAAGAGGCCTTTCCAGTGAGGTTGAAAAGAGTCTTTCTGAAGGCGTCTTTTCCAATAGATAAAATCTGCAGGTTGCACAGTGTGTTGCTTAAGGTCTTTCTCTCCCTGGAGCACACTTTTAAATAAGAACCATCAGTGAGCCATGAGAAGTCAGTGCTACTCAAGGAGTTTCCTACAGATCATCAGAGTGTCAGAAGGTGATTCATTCATGTTAATCAGTCGCGGGAGGCTTCATCAGTAACAAAGGGGAGAAGAGTAGCAGGGTTAAGATTATTACAACCTGAAAGAGTTATGCAAGGAGCAGTTAAAAGGATTTCATAGTAGGTGAGGCAGCTGACTAAAAAATGTTGAGTGTGATGAGAATTCAGGAGGGCTTCTACTGAATGGGTTACAAAAATGATTAAAGGGGGATCCCACTTTTTTGGTGTCCTTAACCAAAAGGGCAGTGACAGTAATGGCTCCAAGGAGAGGGGGATATCTCTAAGACACAGGCTCCAGATGCTGACTATAATATCCTCTGGGTCAAAGGTGAACCCCATGTTTTTGGGTAAGTACCTCAAGGGTATTTCCTTCCTTTTCATATACAAAAAGGAAAAAGGGAATCTGATAATAGGGATGGCCAAAGACAGGCAGGTTCATTAAAATCTCCTTTAAGGCTTTAAAGGCTACATCATCCTGTTATTTCCCATAAAATTGAGTTGGGGTTATTGTTCTTACATAAAACATGCAGAAGTTTGGTAATGAGAGAGATTTGAGACTCAATATCAGCAATAAATAACTAGCCTTAGAAAACCTCATAGTTGACACTTGGTTTTGGGTTTGGGGAAACTTGGGAAGATATGAAACCTATCTGGATCTTGGTACAGCCTTGTTCTGATATCAGATGCTCTAAATATTGAATTTGAGTTTGAGCAAACTGCAGTTTTTCTTCAGTGACTTATGTCCCTTAAAGGCCAAAAGCTTTAGCAAATGGATACTGTCTTTCTATGAGGAGATTTGGGAGGAAGAGCAAAGAAGCAAGTCATCCACGTAGTGCAACAAAGTAGACCGCCTAGGGAGCTTTATACCATCCACATCAGCCTTCAGGATCTGTGAGAAATAAGAAAGGCTCACAGCAAAACCCTGAGGCATCACTGCCCAGGTGAACTGTTTTCCTTCCCAAGTGAAGCAAAACGGTATTGGTTAGCTTCAGCAACCAGAATACGAAAGAATGCACTAAATAAATCAATTACAGTAAGAATTTACTTCCTAATGGGATGGATATTAATTGTGTATGAGGGTTAGCAGGGTGTTGAGGGATAATGATGTTTTTTAATTGCTTGGATGTTCTGGACAAATCTCCACCCTTGGGTTTCCTCACAGGTAAAATAAGAGTATTAACAGGAACTAGTGCAAGGGATAATGAGGCCCTGAGTCTTATGACCTATTATGGGCTTTATACCTTGAAGAGCTTAATTTATGGGGTATTGATTGATTCTGGGAAGGAGTTTTGGGGAAACTATTTGAATCTTGATAGGAGGTGCACTGTGGATTCTGCCAATATCAGTTGAAGATTTTGTCCATAAAGAAGATGGTAGTTGATCCAATAGGGACAAGTGATCAGTGCTCTGAGAGTCAGCTATAATGTCACCAGAAATGGAGAAAAAAATGTTAAAGAATCATTCAGTCCATCTGATTTGCTATTTTGATGGCTACCATTAAATGCTAGATTTATTTCTCCCTTTTGGGAGAAAGAAATTCTAGCATGATACTTTTATAGAACTGACTCTGGGTAGTGAGCACACAATGTGATATATAGATGATGTATTACAGAATTGTACACTTAAAACCTATGTAATTTTACTAACCATTGTCACCCCAATAAATTTAATTTAAAAGAAGATTCCAAAGGAATTATTCAATGCATACAAACCATTATTAATTTTTTATATTTGATAATAAAAAAAGAATAGGGGTTGGGGGAGGGGGGTTGTCACTCCAAGGGGTAAAAAGTATAACTATTGCACTGTGTTGTACAGCTGAAACTAATTCTAAAAAATGTGTATTTCATAATAAAAAATAATTTAATAAAAAAAAGAATAGGGGTGAAGGAACTAAGGGGAAAAGGGTTTGTTGGAGTTGAAAATTAAGAATTTTAGTGGTTTTTTTCTTTCAGGTGACTCATCTAGGGAGTGAGCAAGCTGATTTGCCAAATTGATCAAATCTAGAGTGAACATGGTCTCCCATTCCACCCTGGTCCTTTTAACTAAAAGATAAAGTTCTCATTTCAGCCCATTAACAAAACATAGAGTTAAAACACTACTTGAGTGGTATCAACATCTTAAGGAAGACCAGAATTTTCTTTGAAAACAATCTGAAGTTGATCATAATATCATGAACAGGTTCATCAGACTTTTGTGTGCAAGACTGAATTTTGTTCCAATTAACAGGCTTTGGGAAAGCCCTAGAAATTTTCTAACGTAGTTGCTCAGCAATTGCCCAATGCTGATCATATCATAAATCAGTGGGTTGGTTTCCTGGTTATAATCCTAGAGAACTTTCAGAATTTTTCAATTATCAATTTTGTATCCAATGCTGAGCCTAGCCTTCACCAACAAGCGTATTAACTAGCTGACATAAGTCAGAGAAATCAGATTGATAAATTTGAATGACTATTAAATTCCTTAGCAAATCCATGCGGATCCTGTTACTTTGGGAAAATCTTTGACTATGGATCACAGTTCAGCTTTAGTCTAGGAAATATAAGAAATTAAGGATTTACCTGAAACCATAAAGCTCTTAGAAGAAAATATAGGAAGTAAACTCTCAGACATTATGCTTAGTAATATTTTAACTGATATATCTCTTCAGGCAAGGGAAACAAAAGAAAAAAGAAACAATTGGGACTACATCAAACTTAAAAGTTTTTTTCACAGTAAAGTAAACCATCAACAAAACAAAAAGACATCCTACTGAATGGGAGAAGATATCTGCTAATGATACATCTGACCAAGTGTTAATATCCAAAATTTATAAGAAAC